TAATGTCAATAACTGGATTTTATTCCGTGTTCTTTAATGAGAAGAAAGAAGTAGATTGAAATATAAATACTATCTTTGCAAAGCTTCCCATCTTTGAAATCAGATGCAACTGGACGTAACTTTATCTCTTTTCGTCTAGGCTAAAAAATACTGTCTGATAAAACAACTACAACATGTGGAGTCACATGCAGATATGAAATGTGTAATGTCTTCCAGTCTAATCCAATACATGCATCACGAATTTCGGACTTCCGGTCATTGCGCAATGCATACTGGGAAGGATTTTCCGAAAAAGTGAACATCAAATCACCATGTTTGTTTCCCAGTGAGATATGTCTATTGTCAAAGTCGATCTTTTCAAGTCTTTGGAACCATATCGCTTTTGTTTTTAGTTCTGATATTGTCATATTTTAGTTATGGGATTCGGACATCGTAATTGTGTGGTTGTTGAATGTCCTAACAGTGAAAAATGGCCTTCGGAATTTTGCAAACTTCATAACTGCAAAAGGGAATCAGATGTGTGTGACTGCAAACCTCCGTTCAAACTGTTTCCCTTCCCAGTGGAATAGAAAAATAGTGAAAGGTGAAGACAATGGGCAGGACTGATACACAGGAAGGATGAAAAAAGAAACCTTTGGCTGCCTAAGAAATCATTGCAGTGGACATTTTGTATGTGGAGCAACAACAAAGAGGGATCCCGTTTGTTAAGCGAGAAGTGCAGAAGACAAACAGGCTGAGTTCGCGCTTTCTTGTTCTTGTGGTTTTACAGCAACATCACGTCTTGGTCGCTTTGCAGTGGAAGGTGGTGAACAGCTGGTGTCTTTCGCTTTGGCGTTGTCTTTTTAAGTTCGTAATCAAGGTTGAGTGAAGAATTGGGATTTTGATTTGTTTGCGCTCCACATACAAAATGTTTACTGCAAACTTGGGATGATTTCTTAGGCAGCCACAGGTTTCCTTTCTTGTCCTTCCTGTGGATCAATCCTGCCCATCACCTTCACCTTTCCCTATTTTTCGATTCGGTTGGGAAGGGAAGCAGTTTGAACGGAGGTTTGCAGTCACACAGATCTGATTCCCTTTTGCATTTATAGAGTTCTCAAACTTCCGAAGTCTGTTTCTCGAGCCATTTTCCGCTGTTCGGACATTCAACAACCACACAATTACGATGTCTGAATCCCATAACTAAAATATGACAATATCAGAACCAGAAACAAAAGCGATATGGTTCAAAAGACTTGAAAAGATCAGCTTTGTCAATAGACGCATCCCACTGGGAAAACAAACATGGTGGTTTGATGCTCACTTTTTCGGAAAATCCTTCCCAGTATGAATTGCGCGATGACCATCAGTCCGAAATTCGTGATGCATATATAGTTATGTCTTATATTGTTTATCAGGAAATGTGTAATCAATCCTGTAACGTTATTGACCTTATCAGTTTTGCAGATCTGCTTTGCATTGACACTTGTACTCTTACTAATGAATTAATTATTAATAAGCCAAATTACTATGACTATAATTTTAATTTAAGAAGATGTTTTAGTAGTTTAGGTAATGTTTTATTTTTTATTTTCTACTCTGCTGTAAAGTGCATCTCTGTGAACATTCCTGTACAAAGTTTAATCTTGTATCATAAAAACTAAGTCGTAAAAAATGATATCTAGTAAGGATTTAAATGCCTTGACTTCAGAATATGGAGCTTGATTTGATGAAATTCGACAGCTTATATCGATCAGTGGTCTCAAATTCGACCTCCTAAGAAATTATTTTGCAAATTGATAATCGCCAGATCTAAATCAGATCTAGAACAGGACTATATCAGGTTTAAATAATTGCTGAACCAAGGAAACTAAGCCAAAGGGGAAGAAAGATGTAGATTAAAACAATTGGAGCAAGTCAGAAACACTGTGAAACAAGACAAATGGGTCAATCAAGCAAAGAAAAGCCAAACTATATATTCCACTCCCTCTGGTGAGTCCTCTGCAGTTTGAGCATTTGTTTTATTTAGTGATTTAGTGCTTGTGTTTTTGTCATTTGGGTTAATCATTAGGACTATTGTAGCCATGGTTTAGTTTCACTTTAGTCTCATTTTAGACCATATTTAGCCCCAATTTAGGCCTGATATAGTTGTGGTATATATTATCAATGGTGATACTTGCTGTGAAAAGAAAGAAGAAAAGAACCAGTGACCTAAACTATTCAAACTACTCAACTTAATAAAGAGGCACTATGTAACTTTTCGTATGAAGGGTATATGCACACATCTGCTTGTCTCCATGGCGTCGCCTCTCAACAGATCTGACCTGTAACTTGGTCTGATGACGCTGTCTGTTTCATCTAATATCTACGGAAGCCCTGAGGGGCAAGCCAAAAAAAAAAAAAAAAAAGATGTCATTTGGGCTCCATTTTTGGACTGTAATTTTCTTTTTTTTTTTCTTTTTTTTTCTTTTTTTTTTTTTTTTTTTTGTGACTGATGGAAAAAAAAAATCTAAAAAATCAAACACTCTAGAGCCAGTATATTAGTTTAAATGCCAAAGTTTAGCACAGGTGAATATTTTATTTTATTATTATTAATTTTTTTTTGAGTTGTCATTTGGGCTCAATTTTTAGAAGTTTTTTTTTATTTTTTTTTTTTTACTGTTGATGTGTCTGATGAAAACAAAAAATCTAAAATCAATTATGTTTTACCAGTACAGTAGTTGACTGATAGTGATTTATTTTTTTATTTTTTTTTTGAGTTTTTGGGGAAAAAAAAAAAAGGTAGGAATTTTTTTGGGGGGAAAGAAAACAACACTTTGAAAATGGAGCCAAATAACAAATTATGTGTTGCTTTTTTTTTTTTTTTTTTTTTTTTGCCGCTCAGGGCTTCCGTAAATGCCATACTGTGCCAAAGCAACGTTTCCATTGAGACATGCAGGGGGCTGGCTCTCCACCAAAGTTACACAGTGCACCTTAAAGATAAATAATATGAAGTCAAGTCATTTTAATCTACATTGTGTGTGGATATAATTTTTTGCAGCGTAGTAAAAGGTAAATTAAGTTAAAGCTGTAACCGGGTGAGCTTGGGTAGTTGTGTGCTGTAGTTACTGAGCAATCAGATGTTAATGATGTACAAACACTCGAGGAAGTGGCAAAACTCCAGCTCGGTATTGAAAGAGAAATGCATTATGGGATATTTAGAAGGTGTGATATTATTTTAAGATGGTAAAAAGAATAGATGAATGAAGGGTAAAGTATGTAGAAAAGGTAAGAGTTGATGAGGTACTAAATATGTCTATAGCAATATTTGCCTGCATACAACGGGTATTGTGAGCTCTTATTTATTTAACATGTAGCTATTTAAAATGTCTCGGAATAAAATGAAATATATTAAAGTTAACATGGTGGCAGTCTGTGTAGTCTGTGGTTTGCTTGGGGAATGCAAACCCAAGTTTCCAGTAGTTTTAATGTAAAGTTTTAAAACGTTTTTCCATCCAAGAGTGATTTCTCTGCAGAGATGCAAGTTTGTGAAAAAACTGCACCCTGAAATTACAAATACACTGAGTCCTGGGTGCATATGTGAAGAATCCATGTGTCATTCGTTCATTTGTTTTTCAATATAAAACCAAAAATAAGAAAATGAAAAAAACAACTATTTTCTTCATTATTTGTCTCCAAAACCAAAATGAAGAAACAATTCATTTTTTTCAGTTTTTGATTTTTTGTTTAAATTAATAATGGAAAAAACAAGTAACGACCGTTTCCCGTTTCAATGTTGCAAATGGACTGAACCAGGACTAAAACAGGACTAAACTAGTCTTGGTCTGGTCCTGGTCTCGGTCCCAGTCTCAGTCCTGATCTGGTCCCGGTCTGGTCCCAGGCTCAGTCCCGGTCTCAGTCCCGGTCTGGTCCTGATCTCATTTCCTGTCTCAATCACGGTCTGGTCCTGGTCTGGTCTCAGCCCCAGTCCTGGTCTCAGACCCAGTCTGGTCCCGGTCTCAGTCCCAGTCTCAGTTCCGGTCTCTGTTCTGGTCTGGTCCCGGGCCCAGTCCCAGTCTCAGTCCCGATCTCACTTCTGGTCTGGTTCCGGTCTAAGTCTTGGTCTCAGTCCCGGTCTGGTTCTGGTCTGTTCCCGGACCTGGTTTAGTCCTAGTTCAGTCCGTATATAGTATGTCATATAAAAGTCCGGCATTGCAATTTAAATCACGGAAATGGGAAACGAAACATCCGTTTTTTTCATTTTGGTTTTGAAGACAAATAATGAAGAAAACATTACAAACGTTTATTCGTTTTCTTACTTTTGGTTTTATATTGAAAAACGAATGAATGAATGACACACAGATTGTGAAATATTAAATAAAGTAAGCAGCATGTCGAGAGCCAAGATAAGAACATTCATCAACATCCCAGCGAAGACGGTTTACATTTCCTTGACAGCGATCCTTATTCGTGCAAGTTTCATTACAAATAATTTACATCTGTGCATGCAAAACCAATCCAGCAAATCCTCAACATCCACTCTGCAAACTCGGAACAAAATTCAGCCATGGCATTTTTCCTCTGGACAGGTCCACTGGGCATTTTCCCGGTTGTATAGATTACCAGTCCGAGCCTGAGTGAGTCCAGAGATGCATCTTCTCTTCTGCACGAAAAAGCAGCATTTGTCCCTTTCTACCTCGTCATTCATTCTGCCATACAACTGTTTAAGTTATGGTCTATTGCAGGGATCCACGCAATTTAATAATAAAGGAAGTTTCATGTGGAATATGTGAGAGAATTAGACCTGATTGTACTTTCACCCCATTAATAACCTGCTTTCCTCTTGTCTAAAATGCCTTAAAACACAAGAAATTACTTCTGAATTGCCCAAAATTTCATAGGGCAAGGACCCCAGACCCAAAAACAAATCACAAATAAACAAATGTATTGGTTGATTTTTTTTTATCACATCCTCAAAGTACATCGTGGAACAGAAACATGTTACTTTATTTTGTTAATTTTAGAAAGTACTATTTGTAGGCTAAAATATAGGAAGAAATATACATTAGGAAGCTGTTACTGACATGAATTTTAAAAAGCAGCGGTGTAATGGGGCCAAGTTAAATGTGAAGTGGGCGGAAAACAATGAAGGTACCCATTACGTGGTGGACAAATGCAGTGAACCTCTCTTTGATGAGGTTCATTAACTTTGTAAATCCATCCTCTTCACATGTGATACCATCGCCTTCAAATCCTTGATTACACCTACAAGTATGGGAACCTACGGTGTTCTGACAGGTTGCATTCTTGTGGCATGGTTTTTTTTCACATTCATTCACATCAACACAATTTTTACTACTTGGAGGGCGGTAGTATCCAGCTTTACAATTGCATTCGAATGACCCGTCAATGTTTTTACACTCTTCATTCACTCCGCAAGGATTTTCTAGTTTCTCACATTCGTTTATATCTAAGCAGGTCATTTTATTAATCAGAGAAAATCCAGAAGGGCAAACGCAATAGAAAGATCCTTCAGTGTTGACGCAGCTTGCTTTGTTTTTGCACCCGCCATTGTCCGCTAAGCATTCGTCTACATCGTCGCATTTGGTCAGTCCATCCCCTTTATAGCCAGCCTCACAAGTGCAGTTGTAGGCGCCAGGTAAGTTCAGGCAGATCGCTTTAGGGTGGCATTGAAGAGACAGTGAGCACTCATCTATGTCCACACAGCGAAAACCATCTCCATTATAGCCTGTTTTGCACTGGCATCTAAACGAACCAGCTGAGTTTTGACAAGTAGCGTAAGGGCTACACAGTCCCTTTTCACATTCATCAACATCTATGCACTTGGAACTATTGAAGACGTATCCAACTCCACAGTCACAATAGTATGATCCAGGTGTGTTAACGCAATCTGTGAAAGAGGGGCAAAGGTCCTGGTTTTCGCATTCATTTATGTCATCACATTTTCGCCCATCGCCGAGAAAACCATCGCGACAGGAACATTCGTACGTTCCGAGTCGGTTGATACAAGCGGCGTTCGGATCGCAGTTGTTTGACCCATCGACGCATTCGTTTATGTCAACGCAGGTCATCCCATTTCCGTCAAAACCTTTCTTACATGTGCACGTGAATGACCCTCTTGTATTCTCACAAAGCGCGTACGAGCTGCACCTCTGGGTCGTGCACTCATCAATGTCTTCACATATTTGTCCGTTACTTTCAAGCCCAGTGCTGCAGGTGCATTGGAAAGTCCCCGGTAGATTTTTGCAGCCGTTGTAGCCAAGAGACGAAGAGCAAATCTCAGGAGTGTCTGAGCATTCATCAACATCCAAGCAAAGATAGTGCCCATTTCCTTTATAACCTGGATTGCAGGTACAGACGTAAGATCCAGGGTTATTCGTACAGGTTGCGTTCCAGTGACACGTTCGCTGACTTGCGCATTCATTGATGTCATTGCATAAAAAACCATTCCCGGTAAATCCATTTTTACAACTGCATTTCCTCCCTCCTTCAGTGTTGGTACAAATGGCATATTCGTGGCAACCTCCGTTCTCCTTAATACATTCGTCAATATCTTGGCAGTTTTGTCCATCTCCTGTGTATCCTTTTAGACATTCACAAACGTAACTTCCTAAAGTATTGTTGCACCGGGCTTTGGAGTGGCAGTTGTTGAGTCCACTGGAGCATTCGTCGATGTCACTGCACACCGTCCCGTCGCCCTGATAACCCATTTGGCACACGCACACATAGTCGGTCTGCACTTTGAGACAGTCGGCCTGAGGGTGGCACAGCACGCCTGCTTTTGCGCATTTCTTTGAGTCTAATACTGGAAAAGAAAGAAGAGGAAAACAGTCAGACTGTCAATAAATGTATTATAAGATCAAAGGGTTGAAAACAGCACATGACCTCACCTTTACAGCTGGACAAAACCCTGTACCAATGCCTTTTCAAACCTCTACCTTACCTACCTGCACTGCTCTCTGTCCCTTCAGGAGAGGCCAGGCAGTGCTGTGAGAGCTCTGTTCTCTGCAGATGCCATTCTACTGCCCCTCACAGCGGAAGGGAAGGGGCATTGAGAGAGTGGACTCCTACAAACACCTGGATGTTCATCAAACTGGACTGTAATCCCAACACAGATGCACTGTACAGGAAGGACTGGGACAGAGCAAAGAGCAGAGCAAACCAGAGCGGTTTACTGCCTTCCTACATTTATAATCATGATGAGTTGTTGCTCTCTGACCGCGCTGAGCCTTTTGCTTTGAATATGTTGCAAGACTGGAAATTTACTGTGCTCTTGCTTTTCTTACTCTGTGCTATTGATATTTTATTTGTGTATTGAAATGCTGCCTCTTAACCTCAACTCCCTTGAATAGCTTTTTAATCCATCCATCCATTTTCTTCTGCTTATCCGGGGCCGAGTCGCGGGGGCAGCAGTCTAAGCAGGGACTCCCAGACTTCCTTCACCCCAGACATGTCCTCCAGCTCTTCTGGGGGAACCCCGAGGCGTTCCCAGGCCAGCCGAGAGACATAGTCCCTCCAGCGTGTCCTGGGTCTTCCCCGGGGCCTCCTTCCAGTGGGACATGCCCGGAACACCTCCCGAGGGAGGCGCCCAGGAGGCATCTGGAACAGGTGCTGGAGCCACCTCAGCTGGCTCCTCTCGACGTGGAGCAGCGGCTCTACTCTGAGCTCCTCCCGTGTGACTGAGCTCCTCACCCTATCTCTAAGGGAGCGCAGAGCCACCCTGCGAAGGAAACTCATTTCGAGGCCAGGCTTTTTAATCTCACTGGGAATATTCCTGGTTAAATAAAGGTTAAATTTAAATTTTAACAAGAACAAATTCTATGATTGTTGTGGTACCAGGCATCCCTGTACAGTGTGGTTTGCTGGAGCAGCAGCATCACAGAGCAGGAGAAACTGGACAAGGCCATCAAGAAATCTAGAGGTTTGTCCTCTGGAATCATCACTGGTACAAGTCACTGAAGCTCATTTACCTGCCATTTATTTTGTTCTGTTCACTGCCCAGCCCTAAATTGTTTATAGAAATGAGCAGTGAACTCACCTGCTTCACTCAGCCTGAAACATGAGAGCAACACGAGTAGTAACCTGAAAAACACACACAAACAAAAAGTTAAACATACATAATTAATAAGGTACAAAATTCTCTCACTTTAAAATTCAGCCTTTGCTTGGGGGATTAGAACACTTGTGTACGTCTGAAAATGATATGTCTTTGTGTCTCAATTCTAATCCTCAAATGCACACTTGAAGTTGAACTTGCCATATCTCCTATAGCACACAGCTGTTATCATGGATCTATTAAAACCATTCTCTTTTAAATTAACTGTGGAAGATTTCACTGCAGCACAGAGGATGGAAACCCCGTAAATTGCCTGAATGAGCTGGTGTTTGTTAAGTGAGTCAGACCTGCTGTGTTCAGGTTCTGAGCTTCGTGTCTGAAAACAAAGATGGCCCTTTTTTTTGTTGTTGTTGTAAACGGGTGAGCAATAAACTCTTTCATTCACATAACTAAAAGAAAAAACAAAACAAATCTGATTGCATGATCACATTTGTCCAGGCTTGAGACACAACAGAGGGCATGTCATTACAGATTTACCAGGCAATTAGTATCAACTTATTATCAAATGACCTGTTTCAAAGCTTTTATATTGTAACAAGTATGGGTGGAGTCCCCGCAGTATCAGATTGTGTCTTTGATCAAATTTGAGAGTATCATTCGTTGTTTCCCGAACTGCTACCTCATCTCATTGCACAAAAGATCACAGTAACTCAGATAACAACTGACCTTCTCATTTCTATTAAGACAATAGAAGACACGTACATTAGTATGTGATTCGTGTATTCTAATAATAAACTAATAATGATTCAATAAAAAGCACAGAGAACGTTTCAACCGCATCAAAATTGGAACTGAACTGAAATCATATCCAGAACTAAACCTGGACTAGATCTTGATTAAACCACTGCTAGAACTGGACCATACCACCTTAACAAAGTCCAGTCTCGGCAGATTTGGGAAACCAAGCAGAATCAGACACTTCACCCACAATATCTCCAATACATTAATCAAAACGTTCAGTCCACACCAAATAAACGTATATAATATTATCTGCCTAAGTGCTTTAAGCTCAAGAAACCATTCACACACACACAAATACACAGAAACAAGACACTGAACTCAGGTCCTGGTTATCAAGTATAAACAGTCTAACAAATAGTGTAAAAAAATGGAAAATAAATAGGTAAAATAAAACAAATAGAAAGCAGTGTGATAGAATTGATTGATTAGACAAACCTTTCTTTAGGTTTATCTTACCTCATTTTCTCTGTTGTCCAACTCTGGAGCCTGGATGGTTCACCTGTTACTTCTGCCTCCACCAAACCCAAATGAGACTTCCCCTCTGCTGATTTGGTCCAGATTCAGACAGGACAGTAACCTAAGCTCTTCCCTCAGGTGCTCCTGTTTGTGGTTTTCCCCCTGGACTAGTTCGTAGGGAAATACCTTTTTAGTTTTACACAAATCAAGAAACAGTTTGCGAAGAAATGTTGAAAATTATTATGAAAACTACAAGAAGTAGAGAGTTCTGAAACATATTCATGACATATACGGAGAATTCTATCCAAAGGTTAGGCCAAATGTACTTTAAACACTATTTCACCAAAATAAAGATGTTTTCTCATATTTACACTCACGATTTTAAACCTAAAAAATGGTCCAACTGGAAAAAATTGTCAAATATTTAGTGAAAATATAAAGATCTTAATTGTAGTCAAATGAGTAGTCATAGGCACTTTAATAGTAAGTAATTAAAGCAGGGGTACGTCTAATGTCTAAGTGAAACGTTTGGTCTTGTTGTCAAGGACGTAAGTTTGCATAGAGACGGTGGGGACATGTCACAACCAATATTTGGGGAAGACAAAATAGTCCCTACCAATATTTGCCATTTTATTTTAAGAAACAAAAATATAAAGGTAAAACACAACGGATTCCAGGCACTCCAAAAAAGTAGAAACAATTTAAAAAATCGCACGAGGAAAAATAACTTGATGAAGACCAGTTAAGATCGAAACATGTTGGCTTTGGCTATTCAAATAAAGGCCTTTTAACTATATTTTTCCTCGTGCGATTTTTTAAATTGTTTTACTTTTTTGGAGTGCCTGGAATCCGTTGTGTTTTAGTTTTGATCCTTTTTTCCAAGAGCACCCTCTACCTGCTCCTACTGACTGGAACACCTGCAGCAAACAGCTTCATTTTTGTTCTTTCTGCACAAAAATATAAATGTATTCTGATATTTTCCCAAACTCAATAAAACTTTTCACAATTCGACAAAATCACAGTCAATTTTTTGTCACAGGAAGATTTTAATTTGGGGCAGCAACAAAACTGCCAATATATAGTATCTGGAAACAGTGTTGGGAAGGTGACTTTTAAAATGTATTCCCCTACAGATTACAGATTACAGACCCCAAAATGTAGTTTGTAACGTAATCCATTAAATTACTTTAGGTGAGTAATGTAATATGAATACTTTGGATTACTTGATTTGATTTACTTTTTTAGACCTGGTTTGGACCTGGTTTAGTCCTGGTTAAGATCTGGTTTAGACCTGGTTTAATTCTGGTTTAGTCCTGGTTTAGACCTGGTTTAAACCTGGTTTGGACCTGGTTTAGTCCAGGTTTAGTCCAGGTTTAGTCTTGGTTTAGACCTGGCTTGGACCTGGTTTAGTCCTGGTTTAGTCCTGGTTTAGACCTGGCTTGGACCTGGTTTAGACCTGGCTTGGACCTGGTTTAGTCCTGGTTTAGACCTGGTTTAGTCCTGGTTTAGACCTGGTTTAGTCCTGGTTTAGTCTTGGTTTAGACCTGGCTTGGACCTGGTTTAGTCCTGGTTTAGTCCTGGTTTAGACCTGGCTTGGACCTGGTTTAATCCTGGTTTAGTCCTGGTTTAGACCTGGTTTAGACCTGGTTTAGTCCTGGTTTAGTCCTGGTTTCCTGGTTTAGATCTGGCTTGGACCTGGTTTAGTCCTGGTTCAGTCCTGGTTTAGACCTGGTTTAGACCTGGTTTCAGTCCTGGTTTAGACCTGGTTTAGTCCTGGTTTAGTCCTGGTTTAGACCTGGTTTGGACCGGGTTTAGACCTGGTTTAGTTTCTGGCAATGAGTGGAATTACTGGGGGAGAAAAAAAAGTAAAAACAGGTAAATACCACCTTGTAATCCATTTATTTCAACAAAGTAACTGTAATCCAATTACCACTCACTGAAACAGTAACTGTAACTGAATACAGTGACTCATAATTTGTACTCTGATGACGTAACTCCAGTACATGTAATCTGTTACTCCCCAACACTGTCTGGAAATAAAAAGATAGTAAGCAAAAATATATATACAGAAATTAAACACAATTAAACATCATATTAAAGTAGAACTAAGTAACAAAAATATAAATGTATTCTGATATTTTCCCAAACTCAATAGTATTAATTTAACAGGTTTTAGTTCACATTTTGTTTATTGGATGTTCTGAGATGTATTCAGTGATATGACGACAGGGTTACACCTCCTGCTGTTTCATTGGCTGTAACAGAGTGATGTCACTAGTGGAGCCAAGAGCCTAAACTGGGGAAACGGCTGCACCTGAAGATGGTGACTTGAACAGGCGTGAGTGAAGACACTGCACCAAACTCAAACACTTTTCAAAAGGAACTTACTTGGCTTCATCTTCAATTAAACTTGCCTTATAATGAGTTGCCGTGGAAAAAGAGAAAGTAAAGTGCACCTGCCAAACAGAGCCCTACTCGTGCGCTGTGAGCAGCCCGACTCTACTGACAATATTCCATGTAAATGTTTGGACATTACCTCACAAATATCTCATCACCAACAAGCAAAGGGAAATCTGCTACAAACTTCTACATCGCTGTTATCCGCTAAAGAATCGTCTTAGAAGGACAATGGACACAAACTGTACATTTTGCGAATTGAAAAATGAAACCACCTCTCACTTATTTTGGACCTGCCCAGACTCAGACAATTCATAAAACATATACACAACTTCTTCTCCCATTTTACCCTTTCTGATAAAGATGTGCTGTTTGGTTTTTGCTGTGTGCTTCATAAGAAAAATAAACAATATTATATATAGGGGTGTCAAATTATCGCGTTAATTCCGATTAATTAATTACAGTCATATTTAGCGCGTTATGTTTTTTAATCGCGTTAATCTCATTTTTAATCTCTAACTTTAGTGTTTCTGTATGCGAGTTGCTTTATTATAAAACCTGTTTTTATGTGTTGTTGGGACAACAACAACAACAACACACACACACAAAAAACACATTTATACATTTTTTTTAATTTCGGTAATTCCACTCATTGCCAGAAACCAACACTGTTGCAGAAACCCACACAAAACGCGCGCAGTAAGAGCGATGTAAACGTCATGTGTTTTCTCGCGTACGCTGCGTAAACCGCGCTTCCTCCTGTGCGCCTCTAAACCAGAACTAACACCAAGACGGGACTAATCCAGTCCAGGACTAAACAGCGACTAAACCAGAACTAAAACTAAAACCAGTAAACCAGGTCTAAACTAAACCAGAACTAAAACCAGAACTAAAACCAGGTCTAAACCAGGTCTAAACCAGGTCTAAACCAGGACTAAACCAGAACTAAAACCAGAACTAAAACCTAAAACCAGGTCTAAACCAGGTCTACTAACCAGACTAAACCAGAACTAAAACCAGGTCTAAACCAGGACTAAACCAGAACTAAAACCAGAACTAACCAGGTCTAAACCAGGTTCTAAACCAGGTCTAAACCAGGACTAAACCAGAACTAAAACCAGACTAAAACCAGGTCTAAACCAGGTCTAAACCAGGACTAAACCAGGACTAAACCAACTAAAACCAGAACTAAAACCAGGTCTAAACCAGGTCTAAACCAGGTCTAAACCAGGACTAAACCAGAACTAAAACCAGAACTAAAACCAGGTCTAAACCAGGTCTAAACCAGGACTAAACCAGGACTAAACCAGAACTAAAACCAGAACTAAAACCAGTCTAAACCAGGTCTAAACCAGGTCTAAACCAGGACTAAACCAGGACTAAACCAGAACTAAAACCAGGATTAATCCATTCCAGGACTAAACTAGGACTAAAGTAGGTCTAAACCAGGTCTAAACCAGGACTAAAACCAGTGATCTCATATATAAAGCATTTCTCTATCAATAATATTTTTAATATGGTTAAGGAAAGACTGGACTTTTTATTGTCTTTAAGTAAACAAAAGTTATTATGTTCAGATTTCCTCGTCTTTACTTTACAGCAAACAGTTTCTAATTCATGGAGACTTGGGCTCAACAGCCAATTTGGAGAGATTTGTTAAAACAGTAAATTACTTTATAAAGTCACTTTTTTTGTTCTATATCAGTCTTTTGATCTGCCACAATAATGTAATAATGAATTTAAATGAAAATACCTCAAATTGAAGGCTTTTCTCAGCAATTTTTAGGTGAGATTAAAATGAGATTAATTAGATTAATTAATTACAGATCATAATTAATTAATCTCTCAATTTTTTTAATCGCATGACAGCACTAATTATATAATCAAGTAACCTTTCATGGGGGGGCGTGTAGACTGGGGCTCTTGACTGCATGACACTTAAAACAATATTTATTTATTCATTTATTCATGATCTGACGTTGGTTTCAGAGCTGTCATATGCTCATAAAAGTGGCGATTGACGCTACAGCCACAGATCACCACGTGTCCCTGGATCAGAGCCACAGGGCCAGGACCACTGCAGGTGCACACACTCACCACCAGGGGGAGACAATGGATAGCGCACTTAAAACGTTTCTTTCTAAAAGTTAAAAATGGCTGAATCCACACACTCTAAGAAAAAAATAAAATAAAAAATAAATAAATCATGCACACTCCACATTCATGTAGGCAGTGTTGGTGAAGTGTCTTGCTCAAGGACACAATCGCAGAACTTTGATCCTCCAATGTTTATGTTAGCGAACAAGTGTTTTAACCACACTTGTCATGACAAGGGAGCCATGTTGAGGACTTTTGGTCATTCTGCTTTAACACGTGTTCACAAATATAATTTTTCAGGCTCAACGATCTTACGACAATGAAATATAATCGATACAGACTGAAAGAAGCACCTTTGAGCATCACTTAGATCTTTTTTGATATATTATTATTATTATTATTATTATTAGAATTATTGCACTGATAATGTGACATTTTCAAATTGCACTTAAAAATTTAAAAAAATACCCATCTATAACCAGTGTTGGGGAGTAACAGATTACATGTACCA